AAGTTCCCTGAAGGCAGAGTCACCAGCCGCTTCTATCGGCTGGTAGAAGCGGCCTCGGGGCGAATGCCCATGCACACTCCCCTTGCCACAAAGCCATTTCTATTGGCCGATGGAAGCTCCCCAAAGGCAGAGTCACCAGCCACTTCGGGGCAAGACATGGCTGCCCGTGGAGCGCTCCTGACAGGAGTGCCCCATGCACACTCCCCTCGCCATGAAGCCATTTCTATTGGCCGATGGAAGCTCCCCAAAGGCAGAGTCACCAGCCGCTTCTATCGGCTGGCAGAAGCAGCCTCAGGGTGAGTGCCCCACGCACACTCCTTTCACCACGAACCCGCTTCTACCAGCCGATAGAAGCAGCTGGTGACTCTGCCTTTGGGGAGCTTCCATTGGCCGATAGAAATGGCTTTGTGGCGAGGGGAGTGCATGTGGGCGCTCACTCCGAGGCCACTTCTACCAGCTGATAGATTTCCTCCCCACGCGCACCACCACCTAGAGTGCCCCATGTGCACTCAACTCTCCACGAGGCCGCTTCTACCAGCTGATAGAAGCGGCTGGTGATTCTGCCTTCGGGGAGCTTCCATCAACTGATAGAAGTGGCCTCATGAAGAGGTGACTGTGCATGGGGCACTGTAGAATGGGGTGCATGTGGGGGAGGAAATTAAGTCAACCCCGAAAATACGTCCTAGTCATTTCTCTGGGCTCAAAAAAAAATAAGACCCGGCCTTATTTTATGAGAAACATGGTATATATCTTTAAGAATATTCTAAACACAATTAACTGAGACAGTACTGTGTCAAAGAAAAAGATCAACAACTTTGGGTTAAGGTCTTCAAACTATAATTCACATGTTACATTTTCATGACCCTAATATGAAACAATAAGTTGCATAATATGTGTGTTTTTAGTATATTTTAATTGAGGAAGTTTGTGTATTTTAATTTTTTAAAAAAAAAAATCATCAAAATATGAAGTTCTAATATGGTATACATAAATCTGTTTACTGTTTAACTAAAAACTATTTGAAGATAAGCTCACATTCACTTACTAAAGTTTCTAAGGCAAAAACAGATAGTAAAATATTTTCTCTTCCAGGTTGTTGTTTTAAAAGTGAGATGGAAAAATATATGTGATATGTATGAAACTATATATTTATGTAATAAATATATTATCATTTTAAGACTATGAATTACAGTTTTTATGATGCAAGAATTTTTGTCTACTGGATTATTTGTTCTTAAAGTCTATTTCTAAGGATTTCCTATAAGAATTGAATTTCAAAACACCTGAGGTTCATTTTTTAAAAATATAAACCAATTTTCCCTATTTTTCAGCATCTTGCAAAAAAACTTTTGGAGCTTTAGGGCTTGTTCTAGAACTTTTTACATTCTAAGCAGGGAAATTGCTCTCCTATTTGCCTTAGTGAATTCACCACTTTTCTTCTCTAAATAACAGTTTCATAAAAGCTGTCATCCTTTATCAAAATCAAGCGAAGGCAAGATGGCTCTACTAACAGCCATGTAGCTCAATCCTCTTCTGTTTCTTTTCATTCACCACTGACCTTGTTAAACTAAGATCTGGAAAAAAGACCTCTATTATTTTATAATCTCTCAGATAATTCTGTTCTTAAATTCTTCATCTGATTATGAAACCAAGGAGTCTTGTGTGATGACCGTATAATAATAATCTCCATAGGGTATAGTTATTAAAGCCAATAGTTTTGTGGTTATTTGAACTTTCTTTGTGAATGAGAAAAAAAATGAAATTTTGACTTCAGGTTTCGACAATAAAGTGGGTTATTGTTCTAGAAATGACTAGTGATTGTTATTTGGCATAACTGAAAAGTTGATACTATAACTTTATTATGTATATTACTGCCAATAAGTTGAAAGTTACTGCTTTTTGTTTTTGTTTTTATTTCTTTTTCTCCCTTCCATCACTTGAATCTGCTTTTCCCTTTCCTTTTTTTCCATTGTCTTTATTTCTATTTCTATTTTATATTTTTATATTTTTATATTTCTATTTTATTAAAGTTAAAAAAAACTTTAATGAAATGTATATGTAGGCTAAATTCATTAAGAAATAAATTAGAAAGACACAATAAAGACAGAAGGAAGAAATGTCAGTTTGTCTACATATAGTTTACCTTAAAGTTGAAAATAGTACCATATTTCCTTTATGTATTATCAAGGATCAGTGATAAGGAAACAATTGTTCCCCAGCATAGATAGTAACAACTAACTTTTTGAAAAATAACCAGTGTACTTTATCTCAATGATTTTTCCAAAGGACAATCAGCAAACACACTTCACTCTGTTCTTAAAATCTATTTTGTTGATTTGAAAATAACAATGGCATAACTTGCCAAGGAACAAGGATAAAATCAAAACCCATCAATATTCTCTATGTGTTCCCTTGAACTTGTTATAGTGTTGAATTTATTGGATACATTTTATATAACCATAGAAATAGAAATCCAACAGATTTTGATAAAAGAAAAATGGAAAATGGGATAGAATATAAGATTTGAAGCAGTTCTGTCAAGCACAGGAAATCAAGAGTCCAGGCAGTTCAAATGAACATGTAGATTTATTAATATGCTAAATCTCTCTACGAGAATCTGAACTACTAACAGTCAAAGCAATCAGCAATAGATAAGAGTCAACATAATTCAATTGCTCTGGATTTATATCTCTTGTGAGTACAAAAAGACTCAAGACGGATAACATGTTTGACTCCTTCCTTGGGATCAAACTGGTCATCTCCTACAAATTTTGCCTTACATACTATACATCTAACAGAGTTCTTATTTTTGAAAAATTTATGCAGAGATATATACTTTTCCACTGATGTTATTCATCTTAGATTTTTCTATGCCTGTCATATTATTTTATAAAAAGCTAATCATTGCTACCTATACTGGGAATTTGGAAAACAAACTTTTCTTTTGGCCTTTGCAGAACAGATAACTTTGTAAGTGCCATTTAAAATTATTTTTTAATGTGGGGAAGTTGGATTGTCATGGGGTGGTTGCAAACTTTTCTGTGTCCCAAAATTTCCTAAGGATAATTATTTTTAAAGAAACAAGGATGAAACAGGAAAGTTTTTCAGATTAGTAGATGACAGGAACATTTGATAGTCGATGAAGACAGAAATCCTCCAATAACATCCATCTGATATATCAAAACAAACTTGAACAATGAGCTGACAATGCAAAATTCTTCACATAGGAAAAAATAAGCATATACAAATATGATAGGACATACCTGCCTTGGCAACAATAACTCTAAAAAAGATATTGGGAGTATAATTAATCACAAATTGAATATGAAGGTAACATGGCTGCAAAACAGCAAATGTAAATTGCATCAATAGAACATAGTTTCCAAATTAAAGGGAAATAATGTTTCTTCTATTTGCATATCCTTGACCTCAACTCGGGTATTGAGTTCAATTTTGAAGATAGTAAAAATATCAAGACCAAGAAAATTGGGTATATTAACATTGTCTGAATTATCATTCCAAGCAATGCCTTGTTTTCTATTGTCTCAGGGTGGATGACACAAATTAATGTTCTAGGGAATGCTAGGGAAAATATCCTTTTTAAAATAGCAGTTTGATGATAGATTCAAATATTTAGAGAGACAGTAAGTTCTGTTCATTGCATGTGGTCCAAGCAAAGGCTTCCCAGTTTTCTCTTGAGGATACTTTACACAATTCTTACCCCGAAGAGAGTTGGAATTGATAGATTAAATTGTTTATTCCAAATCTATGATTTTATGATTCAATATTGAGGAACTACAACTTCCAACAGCCCTAGCTAGCATGAGCAATGGTGAAAGTTGCAGAAAAAAAGCATTGGGAAGCTGATCCATATTCTTATCTCTGAGAGTTGATAATATAATTTGAATCAGGAGGCCTATGATCAGGGGTGGGATTCTACCAGTTCACACCTATTCCCTAGAACTGGTTGTTAACATTCTAAGTGGTTCAGAGAACCGGTTGTTAGAAGGAATTACTGGCCTAATCCTGTAAGGAAGGCAGGAAAGAAACATTCTGGTGTTGCTTACAGAAACTGCCTCTCCGTTAACCCTTCTTGGCAGGACTAGACTTCCTGTCTCAGGAACTTCTCTGGAGTTTTTTTCCCCTCCTTTGCTGGTATTTTGCTTGTGTGGAGTGACCATTTGAAGTTACAATGGCACTGAAAAAAGTGACTTATGACCATTTTTCACACTTACAACTGTTGCAGCATCCCCACAGTCATGAGAGACCAGGCGAGGAGATGCATGCCTCGATGTGAGTGATATTGATTTGGCCACACCCAGCCAATAACATGACCACCAAGCCATGTCCAACCAGTCACATGACCACCAAGCCACGCGCCCACCATCTAAGCCACGCCCACAGAACCAGTTGTTAAAAATTTTGAATCCCACCCCTGCCTAAGATATTAGTTTCGACTACTATTCAAGTTTTAATTTGAGTGCCTTTTTTCTTCATGAAGCCTTATCTGTGATGAGCTTGGGTGGGACCATGAAAATATGTGATAATTAACTTGTCCTTTTATTTTTAAGCTAAGCAATTCAGTTGAGTAATTTTAATAAAGTGTGTCTTCTTATTTTCCCTCTTTTGCTTTTTTGTTTCTTTCCCCCTTCAAATACTCTACTGTATATCAGGGGGTCCCCAACCCCCAGTAGATGGACCAACACTGGTCTGTGGCATGCCAGCAACTGGTCTCCCAAACAAGCGAAACCCCATCTGCAGGATGCAGGCAGCACACAAAACCACGCCCCCTCTGGTCCACGGAAAAACCAGTCTCCATGGAACCAGTCCCTGGTGCCCAAAAGATTGAAGGCTGCTGCTGTATATTAAAATTTTATACATGATTTCTGATAATCTTGTTTCAGCTGGGAGAGTTGCCAGCATACTTATAAACATTTGAATTACAGAACTTGGGTTTCCTTCAAGAATTTTTAAGCATGAACTTTATGTTGTTCTTTCAGTTAACACCAGTTGGAACTACAATTTTCACCGGATTCTCTGGAAACAGAGGCGCCACAGATATAGATGATGGACCCAATGGCCAGATAGAGTATGTCATCCAGTACAATCCCAGCGATCCAGTATGTGAAATTTTATTTTCAGTAAAAATTGTTGAAATAAATTTTAAAACAAAGTAAAATAGAATACATTAGCTATACTTAATTTATTCTTTTATTAATTTAAATATATATATTGAAAGGTTTGAGTACCATTTTTTGTAATGTGTTTTCAAATCAGGTTTTGTCTGACTGCTATTATGGAACAAGGCAATATTCTTAAAAGAGGTGGTATATAGTGGTGGCCGTTCTTTGAAACGGTTGTGTCTCTTGAGTTCTACAGGACTCTACAGGACCTTTAGTTTTCTTAGCAACATTTTACAGAAGTGGCTTGCAAGTATCTTCTTCCTAGTCACATGAAGAATGTCAAGCCCAAAGCCACCTAGCTGCTCAAGATGGAATTAGTACTCATAGTTTCCTTTTTCCAGTCCATTTTCTTTTAACCATTTTACCAGACTGGCTCTTAAAGGAGATAATGAATCAGAAACGGCATAGTACTTTCATTTTTGAACACAGAAAATCATAAAGTTTGAGGCTAGATGTTTTAATTATATATCATGATGAATGAATTAAATTTAGTCACTCTTTTGGAGACTGTCAATGATTATCTGTTAAAATAGTAAGGATGTGACCATATCATGAAGGGGTAACTAAGTCTCTGTGTCAAACTGAATAAAAGGTATGGTGAGGAAGGACATGGGCAAGTAAAGTCAGAGACCTTCTAATAGAGGAATAGAGTTAAATTCCTTTCTTTATAATCATGAAGGCAGCATATTGAATCTAGCAAACATAAAAAGTCTTATCTGAACTTGGCAAAGGATATTGGCAAAATAATAGGCTGCTGAGAACAGTTTTCCCAATAAGATTGGGCTATATAATTTTGGGATAAAACTTTGGCTCTTTCTCCCCATAATCTGTAGTCTATAACCTGTAGTTTCCGTTCTGATGAAGCTCTTTCAAAGTCAAATGATAGTGAGTAGAACACCAAAGAAATTTTAGTTATTATTCCAGTTATCCATGAAGATGTAAATCTACCCCATAGGATCTTTGAGGCCAGAGGGATCTCAAAATAGGTTCATATTTTTACCTGTCCTGTTAGTTCCAGCAGGAGATGTGTATCTGGGCCCCAGCCAAAATAGACTTTTACCTGTTGGGATCCAGAAGGACAACCTTCTCTGCCATGGCCAGTCTTCAAATTTGACACAGATAAAATAAAGTAAATAATAAGCCTGGGACCTAGATAGTTAATAATGAGACCATTTTATGGTTTTCTTGAATATTTATGAGTGCCCCTGGCTGCTATTTTAATGCTATTCCTGTTTTTAATTTTGGTTGCTTCCCCCGCACCCTCTATTCTATCTGCTCACTGTCATGTATATGAGATAAGTGGTACATAAATGTATTAAATAAATAAATACATCAATGAATACATAATGAATTCTACTGTAGTCAAACTAGAATGCAGTTTTAAAGAAGAGTTAGATGCATATCTGGGTAAACCAGTCAGGTCCATTACGAAATTTGAATGACTTTGAAGGAGGGCACATTATGATGCCCTCTCTCCTTATTTAGTGACCACAATTTGTTCCAGCAATATGGTCATTAAGTCAAATGGTTCCTAGCAAACATCTCACATGGGGGGGGGAGAGGGGGAGGCTATGAAGATCACTGGGTGCTGCTATTTCATTCACCTAAAATTCTCTTGTGCAACAAGGTCAGCATTACTTTCACTCCAGTGTGCATTGTTGTCAGGTGCAACTATCTGGGTATGCACGTCCAAATGTTCATGCAATGCACGCTTTGGTTGAAAATTGATTTTCTGTTTATTACCTTCATATTTGTGAACAGTTGCTAACTGAGATCATTGAACAAGGTGTGTCTGCATTTGGTAACCTGTGAGCTCCAGAAAGCTCATAGCCTTTGCTCTATAAATCCTGATGGCTTCCAGAAATGACCTGTTGCCACAGTTATTGGCAAACGAAAGAAAGATCTATGGGAGAAGGACTGATGCTTCTTCAAATTTCAGAAACATTACAATTTCAATGAAGAAAAGGCCATGCTTTTGTTTATGTTGCATCAGATTGGAAGAATCTACAGCTAAATTAGTGAAAAGTATACACCCATCAAGATCATCGGGCCAAAAATGTCTGTATATTCAATATCCTAAGTGTACAAGGGGTTACTATTCCTGACCTAATATGTTTCCATTCACAGTTATGTCGCTGCATAACTAAAGAGTCTTATAATTTTTCAAGTTACATTGTTCAGGGATGGAGTATCCAATACATAAATTAAATTAAATTAATTTAACTTAATTTAATTTAAATTAAATATAGTTAATGGAAGAATGATGCAGTTTTCATGTCTGACTTTTAACACATCAGCAGTACAGTATACAATAATCATAATCATATTAGAGTTAGGCTGTGTCAGCAGATTTTATTTCTCCAAGTTAGCTATTAATATCAATTTGCATTGTCACTGTAGCCCTCTTTCTTTGATTTTATTCTCTTTGTATCTAAAATGGAGTGTTTTTGTTACTCTTTCATTGTTGAAAGGTAAAGCTTGATTGTATTTTGTCTTGTGATCTTTGAGAATGAAGTTTAATTTCACCGGAACTAAATTAAGCATTATCATGTCCCTCCTTTTAAAAATTTGCTAAGTACATATTTTAGATGCAATCGAAGTTCTGGTTGTTCTTTTAAAAAAAAAAAATTCACCAGTTCATGTGGATGAAAAGTAGCTAATTAAAAGTTAAAAGTAGAATGTGTGCAATAATCTACATTTTTCTGTAGCTAGAGGCATTGTCATTAATTACCACTGGTCACTGGTCTTAAACTGTTAACTCATCATTTCCTACAATTCTTTATCCATCCTTTCCCTCCTCCTTTTTTTTTTCTTTTGCAGACATCAAATAGGACTTTTGACATCCCTCTGACATTGTCTGGAGCAATAGTTTTGCGTGAGAGATTAAATTATGAAGAAAAGTCACGTTATTTTGTCATTGTCCAAGCAAATGTGAGCATGATGTTTTTGGGGTGTTTATTATGTATATGATTGCTTTGGAAGAAAACTTGAAAATATGTAAATGTTTTATCTTGTCCTTTTCAGACAAGGATACATTACTTCTCAAATTTCCCACTGAATCTTTGCATGGGTTGAAGATTAGTTTAGACATCCAAACGAATAGTTCTACATAAAATGCCAAACAGAGCTTTCTCCAAATTAGGAAGACATTAATACATAATAAATATGCTGATTACTTTTTTATTTGATTTATTTGATTTGTCAATCGCTTAAAAAATAATAGGTATAAGTATAAACATAGTTATAAATACATGAAATTGATACATATAAGAAAAATAAAAAGATACAATAGGACAGGGACAGTAGGCACGTTGGTGCGCTTATGCACGCCCCCTACAGACCTCTTAGGAAAGGGGTGAGGTCAGTAGTAGACAGTCTAAGGTTAAAGTTTTTGGGGTTAGGAGAAGAAACCACAGAATCAGGTAGAGTATTCCAGACATTGACCAGTCTGTTGCTGAAGTCATATTTCCTGCAATCAAGTTTGGTGCGGTTAACTTTGATTATGTTCAATTGTGTATCTCTGCCCCTAGATGACTATATGATACTCTCTATGTTCTGTCCCAGTATCTGGAGGCTGTGGAGATCTGAACGGGGAAGAATAAGATTCAACAAAATCTCAGCAAGACTGAGTGGCGATGAGTTAGAGCCCCTCTAGTTTAAGTTTTTCCGTCTTTGGTTTGGCGGAGGGTGCACCATTTGGGGGTTCTTCTGGACTCACACAACCTGCTTGAAGAATAGGTGGCATCCGAGGCCAGGAAGGCTTCAGCATAACTTTGTTTTGTGTGTCAGTTGTGCTATTCCTGCATCAAAGTTTAGCTTGTTACTCATGCCGATCGTCTTTGTGCAGCAACACACCCTACCTGGTGCTGCATGGGAAAGTCAAATTATGGAAAGTATAATAGGTAGCTAAGGGTATATAGTTCAGGGGTGTCAAACTCAAGGCCTGCAGGGTGCTTAAATGCAGGATCTGGCCTGCGGGGTGCTTAAATCAGCCCTGCCCGGCCAGCCTGGAAATATCAAGGGACAGGCCCGCGGTGCCTCTGGTGGCTAAAACAGGCCGTGTGCAGGGGGATGTGCCTCATTTTATCCCTCCATGGCTTCCTGCAGCAAAAAAGGACTGAACAATGGGCCCCAAATTGGCTGAAAAACGGTCGAAAAACTGGTCCAAAATGGGCCATTTTTGGCCGGAAGGGTGCTGCAGGAGACACAACATGTGCTGGCCCCAGCCTGGTCAGTTTAGCAAAGGGGGAAAAAGTCCCGATATGTCACATGATGCCACCGTGATGATGCGGGTTTGACAACCCTGGTGTAAAGCAAATTTGAGTTGATGATTGCCTGTTAATTGCTGTTGTGATTTTAAACACAATTGCTTTGTTGTTTGCATAGTTTGTTGTTTGCTGATTGCATGCTTTCCAACGTTTGAGTTGGGTAGCCATATAATGTTTCTAAATACATATTTCAAATCTCTAAGTGATGAGATGGCACTTGCATGCTTGAGAATCACCCTAATGCTTTTGTTGTAACACTGTCTTTCATATATTATTTCACTGGCACAGCAATGTTTTGATTCCATAAAAGCGTATACATAACATGCATGCATACCTATCCTTTTTCAGTAAGCAGCACTATAGAAAGCACAAAAAGAGAGTAACAAACAGTAACCCAAATGAAGGAGGCACATGAAATGAGAAAGAAAAGCTAATGTAAAATCAAAAGTATTTTATATCAATACTCTCCCTATTCTTCTCCATAATATTCTACCATTGCAAACCATCTTTGCTTGGACCAAGTCAATACTTAAAAATTGCCTTCTCACTTTATTGTTTGTAAGGATTTCCTAAATTTCATGCAATTGTTTTTACTTTCTCACATACCCATAAATAACCCAAATGACATCTATTCATAGTTTTGACAATATATTTTCATCCTCTTGTTCATAATAAAAAACACTTTCACATCACTGCATGCATTCATGAGCTGCAAGAAAGAACCATCTCTCTCTCTCTCTCTCTCTCTCTCCCTCCCTCCCTCCCTCCCTCCCTCCCCCCCTCTCTCTCTACACACACACACACACATTATTCTAATATGGGTTATCTTTCTGACATAAATGGTAATAATTTTGTGCGGTGCTAGTTTAATGTCATTATTAAGTTTTGAGGTAGAATCTTTGGAAGACATGTTATCGAATTAGGTCCAATTGCATATCTTTTAATAAAAAACAATGTATGCACATTATATAATAAAATATATTACTTTATTATAGATCCAGACCAGAAACATAAATATATAAAGTGCAGGTTTAGAAAATTAACTGTAGATGATAGGTAAATCCACAATAAACATTCTACAATATAGCAAAATTATGAAATCAATTAATAATTGTATTGTGTAAAGTCTTAAACCCTTCTTAGTCCCGGAAAAATAACATTTTTCCCAAATCAAATGTTTAGTGCTGAATATTCAAGCAGAGTTAGTGTGTATTCCTTTCATCTCTGAATTGCACAGATTACCTACAAGGTATTTAAATAGCAAAAAAAAGTTGATCCATCTTTGCAGAATTCCTACTCTCACATTTGTTAATTAAAAGATATGATTTATCAAAAGATAGATTCTGGCTGAATATTATAGAAAAATAAAGGGAAATTCAGCAATGGAACTCATCATGAATGTGAGTAGTAACTGGAGAACATCTATCAAGCATACCTTAATCAGAATTCCTTCATTGACAGCAGTTAGAATTGATGATCTAAATCAGACGTGGGAAACAACAATGGCCCCTTTATGACTTGTGGACTTCAACTCCCAGAATTCCCGAGCTAGCCATGCCTTTTGTAAATGGCCTTTTTTGACACACCAAGGCTCAGATTCCCTGCTGCAGAAGTTCCAATGAAAATGATCTCAATAGTGCTTTCTAACATTATAATTGCAATTCACTTAACTCAAACTCAGCCCTCCCTTCCTCTTCTCCCCTTTACTAGATATGGCCCAGGAAGGGAAGGGCGATTGCTAAGGGACGATGAGCTGTGATCAGAATATTACTGATTGGAATTGTGATTGGCTTCTGCCAGGCCTGAATATGTACCCCTATTTCTAGTTCTGTCCATAGTTTCAGATTAATTTGCAAAGGTGCTCTCATTTCCTGCTCCTCTGCTGTCAACCTATATAATAAGCTCGTGTGTTGCTGCTGCTTTAATTGTCTTCCATCTAGCTTCTTATTGCTTGTCAGATTCTTGTGCCCCTGGGGAATTTCATTTATCACATGCTCGATCCCTCCTAGAGTGAGCAATTTGCTTCCACCTGAGTATAGCGAGGCTGGATATTTTAAAGGAGAATATTTGAAGCTCAGGGTTGAAATGACGGGTCCTTTATGTTCACTGAGCTTGCTTGTTTTCTTGCAAATGTTTCATTACCCTAACTAGGTAACATCATCAGTGACCCCTCATTTTAAACTTTCTCCAGGTTAACATTTTCTTGTTTTTAATTTTCAACTGATTCAAGAGAAACTGACAGAATGCAGGAATGGTACATATGGATGTATTCCATTAATCTGATCACCCCTTTTCAATTGTTCAATTGAATCAAGCTGTAATAGCCAAAATACACTATAATTGTTTGTTTATTTATTTATATTTCACTACAGTTCTTTATTATAAAACTAAAAACAGAAACAGCACTCAAATTTCAAATTTCAGTCTGACAATCTTTCTACAATCTTGAGTAAGGTTGACATGCCATATGCGTTGGTCTGAGTTCATTTTCCCTGCAGAGCACTTAATCTTTTCTGTTGGAAAAGCAGCAGAATTGGCTAATTCTTCTTCCAGAAAGCAGAATAGATGGACTGTGTTTATCAGGGCTGACAGATAAATGATTCAATAATTAAAACTATAGAAAGTTTTGTAGAAAGAAAGGGAATTAAACTCCCTTGGAGTTCTGTGAAGAAAACAATACTTATTGCCCCCAAATGTACAAAAAGAAACTTTAATCGCAAAAGTCTTTTTTTACTTGTTCCTATCCTCAAATATTTCAGGAAAGATAGAGAAAAATCCTTTTCATTTCGCAAGTTGTGTTTTACACATGGTAGATTTCTTTGCTGTTGGATAATTTGCTTTATTTCTCGGAGTTATTACAGAATCACTAAAAGTTAGATTCTGCATTCAGTATTCTCTGAGACACATTTGTATATTTGTGTTTGATGTCAGCTAACATCTCACAAAACTATTCAAGGACTTGAATAACTTGGAATACCAGGAAAGGAGAAAGAGGCTTAATGGGAGAATGTAGGGAAGAGATGAGTATCTTGGAATAAATATATAATGAGAGAGGTAGAAACAGACATACTGTATACCTAAAGTAATTGGGAAAGGATATCTATGACATAATAAAGAAGAAAATTAGTGATAGGAAGAAATAAAAACAAATCCAACTTGCCACCCGATTTAAAAAAAGAAAGTAAACCTCCCATCAAGGTCCTACTGCTATCTGGAGCCTGGCAGTTCATTACTTCTCTCCACATAATTTTTCAAGAACAGCACAGGATTCAGATTGAATTCACATGTTATCAAATGATAAATAATTCTTACAGGTAGTCCTCAACTTATGACCACAGTTGAGCTCAAAATTGATCCTTGTCAATTGTCCATTTGTCAAATCAATCGCTGCATGAATTTTGCCTCATTTTATGACCTTTCTTGCCACAGTTGTTAAGCGAATCACTGCAGTTCTTAAGTGAATCACGCAATCATTAAATGAGCCTGACTTCCCTCATTGAATTTGCTTTTGGGGAGCCAGCTACGAAGGATACAAATAGTGATCCACATGACTCCAAGACAGTGCAATTGTCATAATTTCATGCCAGTTGCCAAGCCCTTGAATTTTTGATCATGTGACCATGGGGATGCAGAAACAGTCGTAAGGGTGAAAAGGGGTTATAAGTCCCCTTTTCCAGCGCCATTGTAACATTGAACGCTCAGTAAACAAATGGTTGTAAGTCAAGGACTACTTGTATTGAAAGACACCATTCTTCTTTCTGAAGGAATTGCAAGAATAGTATTTAAACATTCTGTTTTCTACACAGGATCGAGCTCAAAACCTTGTGGAACGAAGAACAAGCACAACCACACTCACTGTTGATGTCCTTGATGGGGATGACCTTGGACCAATGTTCCTTCCATGTATATTAGTATTTAACACTCGTGACTGCCGGCCACTCACTTATCAAGCTAGTTTGCCAGAACTCACTGACCCTGTAAGTACAAGCCTGTTAATTGAGTTCATTCATTCTGCATCTGTATTTAGTTACCACTAATTGTACAGCACAAGCTTACAATCAGCAGACTCAACAGAGGCCAGACGTATATCCTGCTATGCCAGAGACAGTCTCATTTTTGCAGCTACATGCAAATTGCAAAGTCTGATTTATCAGACCCTTGAGTGGATTCTTGTCAGGCTTCACACCCAGAATGGCAGTAAATCCTTTTCTTCCAGACACTTAACCCTTAATTCAACTCTTAGTTAGACTTGGCAGAAGTCTCCCAGGTATCACTTTGCTAAATTGATATCTTTATTACTCCGAAGAATGGAACCTCAATCATAACACTTGATTATTCAACTTACTATTTAAAAAAAAGTCTCTGAGACTTTATAAATCTATACTCTATGTCATGGGTGTCAAACTCGCTGCATCACGTTGCCGTCACGCAATGTTTTTCCCATTCGTGGAGCTGGGGTGGGCGTGGCCTACATGTGACGCATCTGTCCTGCAGGCCGCAAGTTTGACATCCCTGCTCTAGGTTATAACACTCCTGCTTTTCTAAATTGACTGGTCATTTGATGGCTTGGGAGGTGATGTAATGGGATGTGAAAAAGACCTTGGGAGACTGGGTGAAGAGAAGCTAACCGATGATCAGATAAGAAAGAGCATAGCCTCTCGATAATGGGCAGAGCAAGAAGACCAGAAGGCACTCTCTCTAGTTTCTCAGACCGTAAAGGAGACAGAGAGAGAAATGTACTTTCAGATTTGAGAGATTAAGTCAATGTGACTTTAAATAAAGTAAAATTAGGTAATTTGATCATGTTACTGATCTGGTTTTCCATGAGGTTGACAGGTGATTGAAATATATTGAAATAACAGCTTTCACTACATTTGGAGTTGCTGATTTCTGCCTTTCCATCTTTAGTAGTGCTTTCTTAAGCCCAAACAGTTATTATGTTTATTCTGTAAATATTACATAAAAATATGTATTGGTCAGTTACTTTCCTATAACCCACATCAGAGAACATAGGTCCTGCCAAGCCTTTATCTTAACTTTATAGGTTTTTAGTATTTACTGAAATATCAAAATATTCATTAGCTAACAACTTCAGATTTTGGTTCGTGTTTCCCCCCAAACTGATGAAAATGAGATTAATTAAAATATATATCATGAACATAAATGAATTTTTGTAGACATGGGAAAAATTATAATAATTTATAACCATATTCATGTCATATTTTTATTTGCTTAATTTCTCTTTTACAATGTACATTGACCTTTCCGTTTATAAGATGTATAAATATCTTATAAATAAATAAAATATGTATTTAAAAATTTGTATAAGTATTCTTTTCAATTAAGAAATAATATCACTCTGAATTGATCAAAAATATTCCTTAAATGTAGCTCTTCAGAGTACTTTTGTAGTGTAATACCTTTCCTTGGTTTTATCATCATCAAATTTAAATGGAAAAATGCATGTAGAATGTAATCATTACTTTTCAGAAACATTGAAGTAGCAATAGATTTGCAACATCATAAAAAGAATCAGACAGAGTGCATTATATTTATCTTTAGGTCAATTAAGAGAGTTGGTATAATTCAATGTTTTCTATTGAGAAAAATTGTTGAAAGTATTGTAATTCATGCCTAGAACTTTGTAATGGACTGTGGGAATAACTATGGAAAACAGGAGGGAGCCTCCTATTCCTCCATAAATGAAGCCTGAACCCAAAGGAGTGGGAGTTCAGAAAGCATCTGAGAAGCATTTTCCTAGTTCTCTGGGATGTACAGATGTGGAGGAGGGATGTGCTTTCAGACTTGCAAGATGCTATTCCTTCAAGATAGTCCAGATAGGATACCAAAACCAAAAGTACTAATGCTTCCTTTATTGTAAGGTCACAGTACAAAATACAAGCCTGAAAGTATTTTCCTTCTGTTCTCCTGCTTTTACTTTCCAAAGAATTAGGGAAGGTACCTTCTGAGATGTTTATTCACCCCTATCCTGCCTTCACACTCAGATTTTGTTTATCAGACCATTGTCTGATAAACAATTAAGATTATTCCCACTTGGTGCTAAACTTGTTACTATGGCCATTTCCATAAGTTGCTTGCTGGCTTCTTCCATGGTGATGGGAGAAATGATAGAAGAATACTGCAGCACTTTGAGAGGTGGTGAGAGAGGTCACACCATTGACTAACTGTCTTTGCAAAAGTAACAACTGAGCTGATAGCCGATTAGCTTGGCTTCTCATAATGTACTCAAGTTCCATGACCTTAATGGATTAGTTCATCTCATGCATATGGAAAGCACTCATCATCATTACCACCTTCACTGCCTACTGGTCAACTGGTTGAGAACCTTGCAATATTTTGTTTGTGTCATAGCCCTAGAAATAATTTATTGAATCTGTTGTTGCTATAATATAAATCATCCCCAATACCCAATCCTGTAAATGAAGCTTTCCTAGGGTATAAAAAAGGTTGTATAATTTCCCCCCTTTGTTAAGAATACATATGTGAACACATTCTAATTATAATAGATGTTTCTGCATTTTTAATCAGTAGGCTGGGCAGCTAAAGTTTGAATAACTGGAAGTGCTAAAAATGAAACAAATGCTTGAGGAACTTGTAATGGATTTTGTGGGTGCTAATTTTTTTTAGAATGCCAATATTTTGCCTTCTTTTCCTGTCATGTCAACTTGATGCTAGAATGGGTATCTAAATATAATGAGAACATATTAATGGTGTGGAATATTTGTGATATGTTATGTAGCTCAGTAATGGGTGGAAGTAGTATGTTGCTTGCCTTTAACCAATAAATATGTAATGTGAATGGAAAATTCTAAGCAACAGAGTCATCATATCATAGAAAGCTGTTACGTATCAAACAATTCTATGTATGGTTAGCTTCTAAATGAACACAAGCCTAAAACATAATTGCATAGTTTAAAATCACAGACATGTGGAGTTTCATTTGTTTCATAAATAAAGTATACACATATTCCAGATGTGATAAAATGCCAACAGATCTTGGCAGCTCCAAGGGGGATAGCAAGACAGTTAAAATGAGGGAATCTGTAAGAGATTCTGGAATCTAGGGGACGAATAAACATGAGAACTGAATTCCACCCTAATTACACTAGATATAAGTTGTATAGAGGATTCCTTTGGTAGGTTTTGAAGATTGTTACATTACCCTACCAGTAATAAAGATATTTCCAGAAATCTAAGTAGTTCTTGTTCTCCAAGTTTTTCAGCCTTGGAAATCTTGACATTATGGAAAGGTCAAGGACTATCTATAATAAATTGTTTCTGATCTTATGTCCAATTTCATAATTGCTCTTCATTGTGGAGAGTTAGCAAATCTTTTGCTAGCTCTTATTGTCTGCTCCTCTGGCTACCCTCTGGCTCTGCCTAAAGTAATCCTTTCCCAAACAGAGAGAGGACTGTCACAAGTGTATAGGTCAACAGTAAGAAATGTTGATATTCATGCTTTCTGGTGTACCATGTTGTTAGATAAGTTTGAAGTTAGACTCTGTTTGAGCAGTTCTAAGTGAATCACCTGGGGCACAGTCTTGTGGTGTTATTTGAGGCTAAGTTTAATTCTGTAACTCCTGATAAAGCAAAAATTCCTCCAAGCTATACTTTCATCCACCCATCTGCTAAAGGCTGCCTAGTGCCTAGGAGGTGATTTCTGGATTGGTCTATATGATAATGTCTATGGAGATTCTCAGTCATCCAGGTCATGGTTGTCTCAAAGATGCTTTTTCAAAAGACTATGTTTTTTTTTCTCTTGAGGAAGATGTTTGCTTCTTACTTCTATACTTCTGCAAATGTTCTCTTGGAGAATATGTAATTCATCAGAGGTTCTGTGTATACAAAAGAAAAGCTGGTTTGCTTCTAAGTTCTGTTGATCTTCTTGCAACATGCTTGATGTGTGTTTTACCACACACAAACTGTTTCTTATTTAAGACGGATTTGGAATATCTAAAATGAATGTTCAAGGTTTGGATTGTCAGCCCAAGTACATCTTTTTCATGTATAATTATAGAATGCCCATATGCCAAATTCTTTGTGTTCCTTTATGAATAATGAAATGGTGGTTGTCTCTGCTAGCAAGTCTTACAGCTGATATCTTTGGTCTTCTCAGGATTTACAGGACTTGGCACTTAAAGATTGACAAGATGTGCAACAGGGATTTTACTGATATAGCTGTTATCATCTGCAAGAGTAATTGTTGCAGATCCTTTCAGTGAAATGTTCTGCATGCAGTGAATCTAATAGGAAATTGTGCATAGGATTGTAGTGTTGGTTATTTTCAGATTGTCAATTGGCACTTGTTTCAGGATGTGCACATTTTTAAAAAAAATATTGATATACAAATTCCTACTCCTATGAAATATGTGTTCTGTAAACAGTTAATGTTATACAAACTAATGCAATTTGTAATTGTCATATTTCATTCTAGTTTTTTTTTTTTTAAAAAAGCATCAGTAAGTTTGGTCAATTGTATGTTCCACACTCAGAAGAACTGAGCAAACCCACTATTGACTCCAAACTTTTTAGACCTAAAAGGTACAATAAGGTACAGGTGGATCATTCTTCCGTTAATTCCATGCTGATATATTTTCTGTACATTTATTTTATTTAGCGTATGGCAGGGGTGTCAAACTCAAGGCCTGCAGGCTGTATCCAGCCCACGGGGTGCTTAGATCTGGCCCATGGGGCTGGTCTGCAAATAGCAAAGGACTGGCCCACGGTGCTTCTGCTAGCAAAAATGGGGCACGGGCAGGGCACTCCCTCCCTTCCTTCCTCCCTCCCTCCCCGCTATTGCTTTTGGCCTCTAGAGTCCAAAATGGAGCCTCCAAAATCATCCAAGAGACTGTCCAGGCCCAAAACAGAGCCTCTGGAGTCACCCAGGAGGCCATCCAGGCCCAAAATGGGGCCTCCACAGTGCTGCAGGAGGCTGTCCTTGACTCAGAAGGTTATA